TTGTATTGCTCAAGGCAATCTTCAAAGGGAATATACAACCAACAGATGACTTGTGGTACCCAAAAACTGCCAACAAAGTGTATCTAATAACAAAATCTGGGTTCATTAGTCAGGACAGAGTCTGGCTAGTACAAACACTGCCAAGATTTCACCTTCAAACTCTTCTGCTGCTTTTTAACATTCATTTGCGTAGGTAAAGATACTGTCACGAGTATGTTGTAATTTATACAAGTCAGCGTTCTCTTCCTTATTGAACAGAAATGAGCTCTTATCCAGCAGGATGGCGGGAACTAGAGACCTTATTGCAGGAAACAATGGCTTCTTTTTAAATTTTGTTTAAAATTTGCTTAAGTGCCATTAAAATTCCAATTTTTCAACACAAAGAAGTAACAAAGCAGTGTACATGAAATCTTCCTAGATAATTCAAGTTTTATTTCTTAATCGGAGCGAGTATGATAACTTCCAGTACAATACCGGGTATATATAGAACTTATCATCATTTAGCTTGTGTTTTGAGAAATAGGTGGGGAACTCTTTGGAAAGTCGAGACCATCTGATTTTGTGAGGTTTGATCTTTGTATTTAAAAATTCATAAATACATGCCGTCCACCCTATACATAACAACAAAATTTCATAATCTATTGGAAGTCGCACCTCCTCCTTTATTATTATAACCAGCTTTTGTTTAAACATATTTAGAAGAAATTTCATGATTTCATTCCATCCATGTTCATATCCTTTTAAGTTTTTTTTTTTGGTTTAAAACTTCAGAAATCACAAAAAATCCCCCCCCCCCCAAAAAAAACAACCCCAAAGCCTTTTCAAACTTTATCGACACATTCCCAACCTGGGGAAAGCTGGCACAAGATCTGCCAGTGTATATATTATACTTAAAATTTTGACTGCTTCTGAAGAATTTGCTGAAAAAAATATAGGTCAATGTGGAACATCTGAGCATGCTCAAGCATTCAAATCAGAAGCTTCTTAATGTTTGTAATGGCCAATATAAACAGACAACTGCTTTCCTTATTTACAAGATTACTTCGGATAATTAAAGTAACAAAATAGTAGTTTAATGTCTTTATTACAAGCCATCAGCCACCGTTTCCCCTCCATGTTGAGAGTAACCCAACCGAATTGATAACCTGTCAGTTTATTGACTGATAAGACATATAGAACTGCAGAATGAACATTGGTATGTCCAGGCCGACTGTATACCACATAATTAGTTAGATATCTATATATATATTAGTACTAGGGCTTATTTGACCCTAGCTTCACCATCCTGGTACATTTATGTGGAATCCACTGTTGACAAAAACTAGTTATTCGACTATATGTTTCCAGTGTGTAATACATAATGTATAAACATATACAGGGCGCTCTCACACCCCATTTTCCGACTGGGGCTGGGGCCCCTTAGAATTGGGAAAAATAGCGGCGTTTTCCTTAGAACTGGCAAAACTTGGGGTCTAAATTGGGAAAAAAAGATACTATTTTGCATTGGGAATGGGGCTGAATATCGGCCCTAAATCTGGCAGATCGAGAGCCCTGATATATATGTAATATAAGTCCATTAAAACTTGTCAATACTTTGTGTATCGATATGTGATGTTGACTTCATCATTCATTTATAAATATAGTTTCACATATGTTTCATGCATCTTTTGGATCAAATCGACACTACATGACTCATACGTAGTAAACAAATCCTATTTCAATATCAAAGAAGTCACATGAAATTAAAACTTTAAAACATCTAATGTCATAATATCTCTCGTCCAGATACTCAGATATCTCCTTGAGCTGTCCAGATGTTTTATATTTCAATGATGAGATAAACCTAGTTACACTACTCGGATGTTTACAACCATAGCAAATTATCATTCAGGGTCTCTTAGTATATTTCAACTTGGTCATTTAAGTGAAAACATTCATACAAAATATATTTGCACTCTGAAAGGTTACAGTCGTATTTGATTACACTTTCGGAGGTCTAGCCACTTTAATATGGTGAAGGTTATCAGATAACGTAAAGTACTGACAAACCCGTTCGTACCCGTCTGGTGAAGAAAAACAACACAAATAATAATAAAAAGATTCATATTGACAGACATCAGTCATTCAGAAGGTTCACCATGTTTGATATGCATCGTATAGTGATGAGGAATCGGCTAAAATCTATTATCGATTAATGGTAATTATAATTTGATAATCAATTATATCTGATCATCATCCCGTCACTAGCATAGCGTATAATTTGGTAAACATACAAACATCATGTCTGATCTATGTTACATCAGATACAAGTAATGAGTTGCAATAGGAAGAAGTAATGAAAAAACACCCTGCCACCACTGGGGTTCAAACTAGTGACCCTTCCGACCCTTCAGTCTCTATCCAAACATTCTACTACTGATGAAAGGGTATTTCCCATTAGCTGAGGCTTCTACAGAGTAAACATATGTATTTCTCAATTTCTCCAGATTATGACACAACTAACAATATTTGGTTTCAGATTTTGAATGCCTCTACTTCCAACATATGCCACAGGTGTATTATGATGTTGTTTGTAACTTCAGTCATTGAACCAAATACACAAATAATTCTGACAAGGTAAACTGTTACCTGAGTTGATCTATCATCCAGTACAGCAATTTTAGTGAAAACAAAAACATTACACAAACATAAAGAATGTAATAATCTAATCACAACTACAATATCTTGTTCACAATGTAATCTTGATAGTTGAATATCATCCATGTTTAAGTTTACCAGATCACCATTTTCATTCCATTCAAAATTCCACCATTATCTAAGAACAGCTATCCAAATGATTTCACTTTTAAAAATGTACATTCCACAAATTTTCCCCTTTTTTTAAATAATGTATAGTATTTCCAAAGTTCAAATTTTCAAAATTATTTCAGAATGGACTATCAATCATTTTTCACTTTTCAGAATAGACAATCCACAAATTTTCTAGTTTTTTGATAATGTATAGTATTTCCAAAATTCTACACTACAATACAGCAGGTTTACTGTCATCATAAACAGTGTTAGCACAAGATGTAATTTCATGTTTCACAATTAGTTTCAAACAATATATATGGTACAATATGAAACAGTGCAATTTGAAACAGCACAATATGAAACAGTGTAATTTGACACAGCGTAAACTGAGGTACATATTTCTCTTTCTGACTTCTATTTTCTACTGGTAAGTCTTATTACAAGATGCCAAATTAGCATTGGTTTTATCCAAACAGCAATACAAGTGGTATTTGTGCATGGCATGAAAATTTTAACTAGAGATCGCTATTCTGAATTAAGGTCCCAAGCCTTAATATTAACACAGGTTAACAGGTATGTACTAAATGTACTATAACAGTGAACTCTTCTCATTCTGGCTTTTCATACGTGTACATCTGACTAATTCACTTCCTTTCAAAATCCAAGGAGGATGTGTTAAGCCTGTGTATCATGATCATTTCTGTGGGATTGTGGTGTTCACTTCCTGTTATTAACCAATAAACACACTATTTTGTTTGCTTAACCTAAATACCTAGACAGAAAAGTATTATAATAAATGTGACATCATGATAAAACAAAATTTTACTGATTTTTTTTATTATGTCATATATATGGACTGGTTTTTGCTGTAATATGCGCATAAAGAGGTTAATTGACAATTATAAAAAGGAAATCCTTATCTGTCGATCAACAGTCTAGATATGTAAATTTTTGTGCCATACATGAAAATTTATGCGCACAAAATACCATTGCCTGTAAACAAAAATGGCTTACCACCTGAATCCGTCATGACAAAGATGGTGGTTGATGTTTCTTATTTTGTAATGCTGAATTGACTTATAGTTATCAATTAACATTTGTCACAACCATAAAATAATCCAGTGCTGAAAACCAGGATATTCTTTTCTGTGTCACCTTAATCAAAGAAGTGGTCAAGCTGGACATCAGAAACTAACTGTGAATATCAGGATAGCATAGGAAGTAGCAATTAGTGGTTGTCTGGGATGTATTTAAAATGATACTGTGATACAGCCCTAAATGACAATGTTGAGTATGAAAATGTAAAAGGGTCAAAGGTCAGGTGTACTAACAAGTTTCCTCTAGGATGGGCTTCCATGCCGGACCTACATCTCTGAATAATTGAAAGCATCCTAATTAGTACCATTGTTACCAAAACCACATAATTGTTATATTTCTTTAATGTGTTATTTATTTACATGCAAAGTTTTTAGCTAAATTGACAGATTCCAATCATAATCAATATTTCTCTCTATACTGAATCATCGTATCACTGCATTACTTCTCAGGTATATCTGTAAAAACTTGACAATATCAGGTGATCAATAACTTAGATTAAATATGACTAACTAGGCATTCATTGGGTGATCACCTATTTATGAAAACATTTAAATTAAGTAAGCAGACAATCATTTGATTTACCAGATACTGTATTTTTATCATAATGATCACATCAATTATTAATTCATTATTCCCTGCATTGCTGCTCCGAAAGTAAACAGTTTTCTGACATATTTTGCTGACATCTGAAAACCATGGATCAATGATCATGAATAGTCGGTGTGAATTCCACGGAAACTTGATTCAGCATCATATATAAAAATAAGAAATAAGAGATTAACTGATTAGGGTGGTACCGATTTATCAACATTACTATATATGTTAATTCGTGCGCATGTTTTGTGGTACGTACATTTTCTTATCATTTATTAGGGTATCTACGATCTGTCTATTCTGTTGTGTAAAACATTATATAACTAATTTACTGCTATCCCGGTTTTTCTTAACGCACGTGGTTGAGGGGTTGAAATCGAATCATCGTAATCCGGATAACGATAACAAACTGATGAAGAAATTGACAGCAGTCTTATCCGTGCCTAACATAAAGTCTCTTCCCTTTCCTGGATCCCCAAAAGTTTAATAATCCTTTGAAGAAATGTTTTACTTACTTGTTGAAAGTTTTCTGAAAGCCTTGAATTTCTTTGCGTGAAAACTCCTTGAATTCTGTGTAAGGATTCCATACTTGTGTGGATGGTAAAACAGGTGCTGCACCGTCCTCCCCTGCTTCATTAATATTCACTCTTCGCTCTAATTTCTTAGCAAGTTCGTCCGTCGCCATTTCTCACTAATTTCCTGTTATATCCCTCCGTTCAAATATCTGTACAGTTCAAAACACGCGAACACTTTCACTCGCCACGGCATATGGCTTCCTGTTTGCTGTCAGTGTATCCGCATCATGTGACTTGAGGTCATAGGTCAAGTTAGAATACACAACCGCGAAAAGAGAGTAGTTACCGTAATTATGTTTACGAACACCCCGCTTGACTTATTTACAACAAGTCAGTTAAACTGTTGCATTTAAGAACGTTATATTTTTGAAATATCAAATTTGACCAAGGACATACAATACATGTTATACGACATGTCCTTGACTTAAGCGATAAAAACAGTACTAGAGTATATATAATTATCTCCTTAGTAATAAATGGCGAATCAAGAAATCGTTTTGAAACAAATTAAAAATCCATTGATTCTAATTCGCTTATTAACAAATTTCTTTATTTTTTAATTTCGAATTTTGATCAGAGTGTCTTAACACTGCCAATAATAACACGTTACAAATTAAATATATTTGAAAAATATAGTTCATCCCTTATGCAGACGTACACTATAATACGTCACTGTTCAGCGTATTTTCTTTTTCAAAATACTCAATCAATGGAAAGGTAGTATGTTAACTGAACTGAGTTTATGATTTGAACTGAATGGAATAAATGTATAGTACCATTCACTATACATGTGAAATATTACTCAGTGTTTGTACTGTATTACCGGTATATGTCTGATTTTATTCCCCCGTACATTTAGAATTTTTGTTGACTTTCACGTTCCTCCAGAACGAATCGAACCATGGACTTACATAATTGACATAAAACGGTTTATCTAAGTCCATGATCGAACGTATAAAACAGTTGGCTGTCCAGATACCCCCCTCCCCCAGGTTTTCAATTTACAAAAAAATCTTATACTCACGTGATCATACAAACCAGTGACGTATACACATTCCCGCGTGCTTTGCATACGCGCCTGTCCTAACATTTGCGTGTTACCTTTAAAGTGTGACTCTTACATTGGGGCATGTTCAGTAATCGGGACGGACATGCAAATATTCTTAACCGGTGCTCGTCATAAAGCCAAATATGATCAGTAGATTCAACCTATTTCATAAACGAACAACCCTGGTACACTTGGTCAAGCGGGCCTTGATTAAGATAGAAAGAGAAAATAGCTGTTTCACATACTAAAACACATTTGGCATTTATGACCTTGTAAGTTAAACACATTTGATTGCAATTCATTATGAGAATTGCAACTGGCCATGACTATGACATAAAGAAGCTATCATAATATACTAATGTAATACATACTATTGTGTAGCCTAGTTATATGTCATTCAACTTGACTTACCACTGTGGACTAAAAAACTCCTATCTAACTATAGGTTAGCCAAGAGAAGTTAGCACTTCAAAATAATGTGGGTTTGTTTCATTTAAAAAAGTCGATTTTCAATTGTCTTCACAAATTATTTCTCCAATAGTTCAGAAGTCACATACTTTCATTCATTTAATCCATGCGACCTTGACCGAAGGCCAAGTTAATTCACTTGGGCAAACTTGAAAACTTAATCGACATTCATCCTAAAATGATTTTTATATACTATTTATAAAATATCAAATTTGAGTGAATCTTTTTCAGCATTAAGAAATTGTTTGGATATTGAAAATCAGTATTACATAGATTTATGAATTCTAATATTATATACACTATAAAGTAAATAGATAAAAATATCATTATTTATCAAAAAAACAACAACGACAGCCTGCTTTTAATTTATACGTTTTATCAGGTCCCTGGTTTTATGTAAGTTACATTTACAGTTTAAAAATTATAGCCGTCGGTCTATTCCGGACATCCCATATTGCTCCAAACCAAATTTTAGAAACATTGACTTATTAAGTCAGAGAGACGCTTACATTGTATGCATTCTGCAGTTAAGCATAATGCTTGGATGAGGAAGGATGGAAAATGAAGGCACTTCACATACAGATATAAGAAAATATCCAGAAAATACAAACACTTTACTACTACTGAGGAATAGAGAAAGGCATGGTCGACATAGACAGAATAGAGCCTCCTACAAAATCCTAAAATCTCTTATTTGTGGGGTGAGTCGGTCCTATTGGATGTATGCAGCACGATGCATCTAGATCTGATATAATAAGTTAGTCCGTACAGGGTTCAGACTATCCATTCGCGATTTTATTTTTGTCTCAGTTGTAGTATCAAGTAAAAATGTAATCGCAGATAGATAGTTAGAACTCTTTTGACTAATGTGGTGTCAGTTCCATTATTTTTTATTTATTATTTTTTCCATAGGTTTTATTGTCCCCAATACTATCAACAGACCAAAATATAAATCGAGTTCGCATGTAGCATATATTTCTAGTTCCGAAAAGCTTGCAAGTAACAACTGGTAAAGCTGTTCAGGCTAATGATAAATCGGTTACTGACTCAAAATGTAATCTGATATATAGTCCTGTTTCCACTGGCATGCAGAAAAAGTAGGATAAGAAGATAGGTGAATTGAAAAAAAAAGAGTTTTAATTTTATTTTTAGAACCAAATGAACAAACCATTCATATAAAACCTGATCACATCCATTGTCAAGCTGAAAAAATAAAATTTTGTACATTAGTCAATGCAAATGTATGGACGTGAAACGATGTCACCCAAACAGTATGCCTTATGAAATAATGTCATTATGATAAAGCAGATTACTGAACAGAGGGCTGTAACCCTTCAAAAAATTGTTAAGTCTAAATGTCATCAAACATTGGGGTTTTGGGTTGAATGGATGACCAATAAGGCAGTGTTGTTCATTTGCTTTAGTGTTTTCTTAGAATATATGAAGAACACTCACTCTGTAAGTCTGTAGTCTTGCAAATTTGTCCTTATTAGTAATGTAAACACTCTGAACTAAATGATGAAGTTCACCTAATTGTATTGGCAGAAAACAAATAGTATACAATTTTACATCGTTGTCCAAAGCTTACAACGTACTAGACAAAATTAAAAAAAACAACAAAAAACAAACAAACAAACGGCACTGAATCACTGATTCTTCCAAAAATTCTTTCCTCAAATAAAGTGATTTCCAGACAAGATTAAAATAAAGAAAAATACATAGGACAAAAAACTCTTCCCAAAAATAATTGTTAAATGAAATTACCAGAAGAAAATATGATTTCATGTCATTTAAGGCCTACATAAATTGAAAGAAATTGATAGAAATCTGAGAGGGAGATCATCAAACAATTTTATATTAGAAAAAAAACAAGGCACAGTAACTCTTCCAATGACATTCAAATCAAATTGCCATTCAAGAAAGCATAACTTCATTCATGTGATGATGAACTCTACCAAGTTTGGAAGTGATTGATTGAAAACTATTCATTTTTAAATAGCCATACTTTAATAGGAAACATATATTGTTGTGAAAAAACCCAAGCTGATATATTCATGTTACGGATACATAACCAGTGAAAACATCATAAACCATATGAACAATTTGAAAGCAGATATTTAAAAAATAGAGAGTTTTGTATAATATTGAACTACACATTTATTATAAACACAAAAAAGCATTGTATACTAAAAATCTAGAATCCATTGTCAGTATGTAAACATTTATATTAAGCATAATTTGTATTTATGTTAACACATTGGTGTTACATGTTGTCAGAGAAACATTTTGCAGTTTTCTGTTAATTGCTCATTTGAAGCTTTAATACTCAGAGGATATTGGCCACAAAAACACAGTTAGAAATGTAACCTCAAATAAAGAACGGTATGTTGTTTAATGCTCCCTATGTGTAACCATGTTGGTTGGTGTTTCTCAGGAAGCTTTGAAACGGACTGTCTAGTCTGTGGTGACATGGATGTGTCCATGGGCAAGATATTTAACCCTTATTGTTTTGGAAGGAGACTTCCCCTTGAAATGACCCTTAATGTCCACAGGTGATAAACCCAGTAAACAATAAACACATAACATTATATCTAGACTAAAATTTCTTTTTAGCTTTCCAATTTATTTGTTTCAGGGTAATTATTCCTATAAAAAAGTATGGCAGAAGAATTCAGACAAACGAATTGCATGTGAAGGGTATGATTGGAATATTAAAAATTCTTTGTAAGAAAGAGAAAAAGAACTCGATTAAAGAGTCATCTTCTATCACTGGTGATATGGATTATGTATTAATGCTTCATAGTTTAATAACGATAAGTCAGCCACTTAAAAAAATACCAGAAACTATCTTACTTCAATTGTATTCAAACTACTATTTTAAAATGATTGAACCAGGTATTTTAACATCTTGTGAAAATTTTAGCCTAAAACCTGTTTGAATGGAAATCAAACTGCTGTTAATTTTGTTATTTCCAGAGGCAGATTATACTTTGAAAACTTTCGAATTTGGTATGGAGGGTAAGTTAATGTGGCACTGGTTATTTTGTTGTAGCTGGTAAATATGAGATCAACACTGTCAATTCATAGATTTAGTGTTAAGTCACAGAATTATACTTTTCTGGCAAATATTTAAAAAAGAAAATGATGAATATCTTTCATGTGTTTATCCTACAGTAAGCCTATGCATAGTAATAAACCTGACAATATGTATTGTTGTACAGCATGGTAATAAACCTGACTATATTTATCATTGTACAGCATGGTAATAAACCTGACTATATTATTGTTGTACAGCATGGTAATAAACCTGACTATATCTATCATTGTACAGCATGGTAATAAACCTGACTATATTATTGTTGTACAGCATGGTAATAAACCTGACTGTATTATTGTTGTACAGCATAGTAATAAACCTGACTATATTTATTGTTGTACAGCATGGTAATAAACCTGACTATATTATTGTTGTACAGCATAGTAATAAACCTGACTATATTTATTGTTGTACAGCATGGTAATAAACCTGACTATATGTATTGTTGTACAGCATGGTAATAAACCTGACTATATGTATTGTTGTACAGCATGGTAATAAACCTGACTATATTATTGTTGTACAGCATGGTAATAAACCTGACTATATGTATTGTTGTACAGCATGGTAATAAACCTGACTATATGTATTGTTGTACAGCATGGTAATAAACCTGACTATATGTATTGTTGTACAGCATGGTAATAAACCTGACTATATGTATCGTTGTACAGCATGGTAATAAACCTGACTATATGTATCGTTGTACAGCATGGTAATAAACCTGACTATATGTATTGTTGTACAGCATGGTAATAAACCTGACTATATGTATCGTTGTACAGCATGGTAATAAACCTGACTATATGTATTGTTGTACAGCATGGTAATAAACCTGACTATATGTATTGTTGTACAGCATGGTAATAAACCTGACTATATGTATTGTTGTACAGCATGGTAATAAACCTGACTATATGTATTGTTGTACAGCATGGTAGTAAACCTGACTATATTTATCATTGTACAGCATGGTAATAAACCTGACTATATGTATTGTTGTACAGCATGGTAATAAACCTGACTATATGTATCGTTGTACAGCATGGTAATAAACCTGACTATATGTATCGTTGTACAGCATAAATAACCAAAAAGACAATTTCTTTGTCTCATAATATACCCTTTTTCAAACTCAGATGTAATGTTTCTTCCCTGCACTTGTTGCAGGATAAATAAGGTATGCACAAGTTCAGCTATTTATCATTGAACAGCTGGCTTGATATAAAATGTAGCAACCTATATATTTTGGACAGAAAATGTGAACAGCAGTTTACAAATTTATATCAAGTGACGAGTTCCTCATAATTCTCTTCAATATTATTATATTTTCTATACTTCTCCGTTTTCATGTACAATGTGCTGTAATTTTTGGATGTTGACTACAGACTATATATTTTAAAACATTGATTTTTATGTTATACACATATATACAACTGTGTATTATTTGTTTTTACAACATGTGCTGTTTTCAACATTATTCAGATTACCTGGTACATATTTATATTACAAAGCAAACATAGGGCAAACAAGTCATTTATCATTCTTTTTTTAATCTGTTGCTGGTGTTACTTGTAAATATGGTAATATGTCATTATACAAAAACTACTAAAGTTATCATGAGTAATGTGTACAAGCATTGTAAAGGCTCCAGGCTATACAATTTTGAAGCAACATATATTTACATGTATATAACATTCAACATGTTAGTCCTTAGGCAATACTGCAGTGCATACCTTTCTAAAACATGTAGTTTTCTTTTACGAAATGCATCCATTTTGTTGTTGACAGGCTGTTTGGTGCAGTGAGTTGTATGAAGAAAAGTGCAGATATCATAGAGAAAAGGGAGGTCTGATTTGTATCAGATCAATTACACCAATAACTCTATATCTATTTTATTAGATCAGATTTGATGAGGGGAGATAATCTGTAGTAATCTCCAGTGACATTTTGTTATTTTTTTATCTTTATACTTGTATTCAATACTTCCTTACTTGTAGATACAATTTGAAGAATGAGCCAAAATGCTTACAAATAAATCAACCACGCAGTCCTAACAGGAAAATAGAGGATGCACTTGTAGCTTGTGTACACTCGGTAAATATTGAATTTTTTTTTATCTCATACTTCAAGTTCATATCTCGTTGAGGTAGTAATGATATTACCCATAATGCATCTATAGTGTATTTGATCTATAAAATGCAACCATGTCCATCGCATCCCTGAGTTTGAGTCAGAAAATGTGTTGATCCATGAGCATGTTATATTACCCATGATGCATCTACAGTGTATTTGAGTTATAAAATGCAACGTTGTCCAACGCATCCATGAGTTTGAGACAGAAAATATGAAAGAAGGTAATACATATCTGTAAATTTGTAAAATATGAAACTGATTATTGGATTGTTAAACAGATTTCATCGGCGGTAATATTGATAACAGAATCATTGTTTACTATGGCAACTATTTCAACACAGTCGAACTAAGCTATATATTACCATTTCTTTTATTCTGCAGAAGTCATCATGTCTAGTTTATATTGTTTTGTTTACAAGAGTGCCTTCCCATACCTAATGATGGTCACATGTCTAGTTTATATTGTGTTGTTTACTGGAGTGCCTTCCCTTACCTAATGATGGTCACATGTCTAGTTTATATTGTTTTGTTTACAAGAGTGCCTTCCCATACCTAATGATGGTCACATGTCTAGTTTATATTGTCTTGTCTACAAGAGTGCCTTCCCTTACCTAATGATGGTCACATGTCTAGTTTATATGGTCTTGTTTACAGGAGTGCCTTCCCTTACCTAATGATGGTCACATGTCTAGTTTATATGGTCTTGTTTACAGGAGTGCCTTCCCTTACCTAATGATGGTCACATGTCTAGTTTATATTGTCTTGTTTACAGGAGTGCCTTCCCATACCTAATGATGGTCACATGTCTAGTTTATATTGTCTTGTTTACAGGAGTGCCTTCCCTTACCTAATGATGGTCACATGTCTAGTTTATATTGTCTTGTTTACAAGAGTGCCTTCCCTTACCTAATGATGGTCACATGTCTAGTTTATATTGTCTTGTTTACAAGAGTGCCTTCCCTTACCTAATGATGGTCACATGTCTAGTTTATATTGTCACCTAATGATGGTCACATGTTGTTTATATGGTCAAGAGTGCCTTCCCTTACCTAATGATGGTCACATGTCTAGTTTATATTGTCTTGTTTACAGGAGTGCCTTCCCTTACCTAATGATGGTCACATGTCTAGTTTATATTGTCTTGTTTACAGGAGTGCCTTCCCTTACCTAATGATGGTCACATGTCTAGTTTATATGGTCTTGTTTACAGGAGTGCCTTCCCTTACCTAATGATGGTCACATGTCTAGTTTATATTGTCTTGAGAACAAGTGGCTGTTACGATTTGTTTTGGATAAAAAACAGGTGTTGCCTGTAGAATCTGTTTTTCTTTCACCAAATCGAAAGTTCAGGTAAGCTATTTTCTGAATGTAAATTGATTCTGTTATTTACATATCATATCCTCTCCTAGTGCTGTTAATTGTTTTGGTTGAGTTATTATGTTCAGTGGTAGTTATTACTATAACATATATAGAATAAGAACATATCTATAGATGTATAATTGTGAAATTCCTAAACAAAAGAAAAAATTAACTCATTCATTCTTGAATCATTGCCTACTAATTGTTTATTTTGTCAGTGATATATCCTGGAATGAGCCGCACAAATCCTTGGTCCTACGTACAACACACAATTCACGCTCAAATCAACAGCGTGTCCGAGAGGTGAGATTTACAAAATTTTCTGACTGTGCTTTAATTTCTGTTCCAAATTTACATTTAAATTCAAGAAATTGCCAACATGGCAACATAATCTTAAATCAAACATAAAATTGATGCAATAAGGGCAAAGTATGGACAAAAGATAGATTTACATAGAGGCTCCTGAAAAAGGGCAAGGAGAATAAGACCAGGTGTTCAGGAAGAGTAGGCGTCTTCTGCTTCATTGACCCTGCCGCCATGTAAATCTTGGTCAATCCAAATAAGTAATGCCACATTCTCAAATTGTGACAAAATTTATAACAAGGTAATAAGTTGGCATACAAAAGAGTATCAAACATATTTAACTTCATATCACACAAGGATATTGAATATTTTCCAATTAAGCATTCTTACCAGCTTCCCCATAATTTTCATCCATTTACCTCTGTCAGGTTTGCAAGGTTGTCTGTCTGTTTTTGATATCTCACACATGATTTATGATATTGGGAACAAGTCCTTGAATATTGAATTAACTGCAAGATAAAATCACCATAGTTTTGTGAAGTTTTATGTTACTATGTATCTAGAAAAGGAAATTCATCAGATTTATGATACAGCTTAGTGGAAAGCTGTTCCACTTGGATTTTTTGTTAGAAAAGGTCAAGGTAAGCAGCTGACGTAGAAGGGTCTGTAGTGTCCTAGATTCCCTATTCTGTAGGATGTGTGCAATGGCCATTCTTATTGGTCAATCTATATTTTGTTGTTAAAAGACAAGATATTATCAATTATCTAAATGTGAAATTGAAGGACATAGCAAAGTCTTTTTGACTTTTCCTAATTATCTCTTCAATGAATTAAGCTACTTATGAAAACAAAAAGAAGACAGTCAAGAGAGAGGCTTAGTCAAAACACCTGAACATTATTGATTATTGATTTTACCAAAAGATTATTGATCATTACTGAAATAATTTTTTATTATGCCTTGGTGCATGATAGGCTGGTGCACCTGTTCCTATTCTGATGCTATTAGCAGTCTTTGAGGTGTGCCCACTCAGCTTTGTTGGCATGCTCAAGATTACCGAGAAAGTAAGTATCAAATTAGAAATCCTGACAAAGTTTACTTCCTGGCAAATACTCAAAAAACAACTCATTACTCAGTAGCAGAATTCTTTACTGCTGAAATGTGAACCTGTGAAATGTAAAAAAGCAGAAACAATCACAACACAATTTTATCAAGAATCAGATTTCTTTAAAACCTACTTTAAGTCTCAAACATGCAAAAAGAACCATATTCTTAAGTACTACTTTAATTTATATTTCAGAATCAAATGTCATTTATTTCTTTATGTTTCTGTTGTTATTGTATATTATGTTGATATTTGAGTTGTATAACATTTGAGTTGTTGTGTTTGAGATGTAGTGTTTGAGTGATTGTATTTCGGGGGATGTTGTAGGTATTTGGTAAAGATGTAGTACATGCAGGGCTCTCCCAAGGCTTTCTTATTACGATGCATCATTCTGGATGGGTGAAGATGTACAGCTTTGATTGGATTGTAGAAAAGGTAAAAAAACAAAAATAACATTTAATGTTTGACAGCTTTTATGTAGTATAGAACTTGGTTATCTCAACTTAGTTATTCAGTCTATGAAACTGGCTTGCTTAGCAATTTTATTCCTGTACAGATTTTACTGAATGAAAAGTGACATTAAGTTCATTATAATTGAAACTGTTGAGTAAAAGCCGAGTTAAGATGTACATATCAATTTTAAGATTTTAGGTGATTTTTGTTTGTGCCTTTTGTCCATCACTACAAATTGTGCAGAAGTGATTTTAATAACATCTAAATCATTGTTTTATGATTATGCTGGGTTTGATACACATAACTTTACCTAGTATATAGTACTGGAAAAGTGTATGATGTTCTAATTTATCATTTGCTGTTATTAGTGTGTTTGAAACCTTAATGATAATTTCTTTCTTTGAGAGACCTGTTAAGCATGATTACAGTCTCAGTAGGTGAAACTAACCAAACATCTTTCCTGGTGATAGGAGAGAATAGTTCACCACTCAACCATTAAAGTCACTTCTTTGTCGCCTGACGAAATCAGTTGATCGAGCACTGGACTAGTTCTTACCATATTGATCTATCAGTACAACTGGAATGCCAACACATGACCTTTGACTCTGGTGCACCAACACATAACCTTTGGCTTATAGGTGCCAACACATGACCTTTGACCTCAGGAAACCGATGTGTAACCTGTGACTATTTGGTGCCAACACATGAAACAGATATGATGGGTGGGGTTTTCTTTTTACAAGACACTGAAATCACAGTTGTTGGTAATTCTACCGAATACTATTGACCATGGATGGACTTATCAACAGGCATGGGATTAACTTTGTAAATAAATTATGTAACACAACTTCTGACTGGAAACAGATGTGATATTTTTTTCATAATTATAAAAATATTTGATTTAACAGTATCGTAAGTTTGAGGCCAAGCTATTTGAGGAATTTAATGCTGAAGGAATGATTTGTGGGGATGTGCCCTTTGGTCTGCCCTGTAACATACAAATTACAGGTAAGTCATTTCAACATGCCATTTACATGTACATTGTTATCATAAAATACAAATTACAGGTAAGTCATTTCAGCATGCCATTTACATGTACATTGTTATCATAAAATACAAATTACAGGTAAGTCATTTCAACATGCCGTTTACATTTACATTGTTATCATAAAATACAAATTACAGGTAAGTCATTTTAACATGCCAATTACATGTACATTGTTATCATAAAATACAAATTACAGGTAAGTCATTTTAACATGCCAATTACATGTACATTGTCATTACATTCTATAACATACCAATAACAGGATATATGAGATAATTTTAAAATACTTTGTAGCTACAATAAAGGGGAAAGTAATGTAAATATAGAAGTATTGATTAGCATTTTTATTGCAGTGGTATGGACATGATGAGATACAGAAATATTCTAAATGTCATTTACCCAGGTGTTCATCTCACTGTAAATACAACAAAGGATATTCAATCCATATTCAAACAACTGTACAATTATATACATTTATACAAGTGTATAATTAAATATATTTAAACAGTTAAACAAAATCAAAACATCTGAAAGCCAGTATTTTTGAGAACATGACTTGCTCTTTCAGAGTGTCCCCCAGTTCTGTTCAAGGTGCGATGTGCCCAGCACATTGTAGATGTTGGCGGCTTTCCCTGGCACTACCTCATCTCTCCTTACAGCACCAAACAAAGCTGCTTCCATGTCTGTAACCTCACCACTGGTCAACTGGTCAGTATCTAGTCTCACCACCAATCAGCTGGTCAGTAGCTAATGTCTCGTCACTTGTTGATGTCTTTAGTGTAATCACTGGTCAATTGGTCAGTAGCAAGTCTACCTTCCAATCAGCAGGTCAGTAGCTTAAGCCTTGCCTTTAATCTGTGACTGTAGTTTAACCACTGGTCAGCTTGTCTGTAGCAAGTCTCCCTTTCAATCAGCTGGTCAGTAGCTTAAGCCTTGCCATTTGTTGGTGTCTGTAGTGGAACCACTGGTCAGCTGGTCAGTATCTAGTTTCAGCATCAATTAATTGGTCAGTAGCTATTGTCTTGTCACTCGTTCATGTCTGTAGTGTAACCACTGGTCAACTGTCTCACTACCAATCAGTTGGTCAGTCGCAAATGTCTTGTTACTCGTTGGTGTCTGTAGTGGAACCACTGGTCAACTGGTCAGTAGCAAGTCTCACCATCAATCAGCTGGTCTGTAGCTTAATCCTTGCCACTGTGTCTGAAGTATAACCACTAGTCAGATGATCAGTCAAGTGGTCTGTATACCTATTTAGCTGTGCTATTAATTAACAAGTCTGCATCGAAAAGAGTTCTCACCACTGGTCATCTGGTCAGTTATCTCAAGTCTCGCTGATTAACAGGTATGTACCTAGTCACAACACTAATCAGCTGGTAAGTTATGCGAGCCTCCTTACCAGTCAGTCAGTCAGTATCTGACGCCTTAACTAGTCACCATCTGTAGTCTTACTATAGGTCAATTGGTCAGCATCTGTATCAGCATCTGTCAGTAAACACAGGGATTAGAGCCAACGTTGTGGTGCTAGGTGTAGATCAGGGAGATCTGGATATCCCTTGCTTGGGTACCACCTGGTTTGCAGGGCGATTGAAGAATAGGGACTAACAACACAAGTATCAACCACAACAAGCTCAGGATAAGTTTGAAGTAGGTTTATTCATCTTGTCCACCGGTTTCTCCCGAACTATGGGTCCTGATGAAGCCGACGTAGTTTGGGTGAAACTGGTCGATAAGATGAATAAACCTACTACCAACTTATCTTGATCTTGTTGCGGTTGTGACTTACGTTGTAAGTATCTGTCAGTATGACATAATTTAATTTCAGCAAAATTAATCAAATTGCTTATCTGAATTTTTGACGGTATAAACACTTAATTTGTTAAAAATCCTCAGATGTTCCTAACTGTACATTTCCAATCATAGTGCACCATTTATATTCTTCCAGCTTCTTTGTCAGTTGTCTGTGGTCATTTTGTACTGCCAATAAAATTAGATATTGATAGACAGGTAAATGTTTTTCTTCAAATGTCAAGATATTGTTTCTTTTTTCAGGCCAATAATGGCACTTTAGCAATGGATGTTACTAACCTTGAAACAGACAAAGCCAGCTTCTACGGAGATGAATCGGGCAGAATACTCTACCTAGGAGCTGCAGACATCAGGTTTTGTTACCATAATAAAATTTTGATTCTAAACACACTGTTACACTGATAATGGTCCATTACATCTCCAGTTTGTTACATAAAGACCATATTCAGTGAGAAAGTTTTGATTAAAGAAAAGGTCCATTAAAACTGTACTTTTATTAATTGAGTCCCAGCTAACATTTTTTTAGCATTGTTGGATTTTGTATTATCATGAAATATTTATTAGTACAATTATCAGTTTTCTAATTTGTAATTTACAGACTTTTAAAAATAACTGCTGGTGACACAGGTTGTCAAGTATATGAGGATTTCTCCATTGACTTATCAAGAAGTATAAAGGAGGTAAGTGTAAACAAACCAAGATTGTTAAAATAATAGACAATATCAAAATCTCAATCAAATTTGTCTTAAATGTTTCCTCTACACAAGAAATCAAATTCTGCGGTGTTTGAAAGTTGGATCTTTTCCCATCTTTTCTTTGTCTTCTGATTTTTATTGTACTAAATTTGGAAATTCCTCGTAATAAACAGTGATTCATGTTTAAAATCTTCATCTGTCGAATCCAGGATGGTTGCCTGTTAGACATTTTATTTTTCTGATCAGTCCCAAGATCCACCAATTACAATTAGGGACCAAGGGGAACCTACCAATGAAATTAGAGAAGATTCATTCAGTACTACCCCACAAATAGCAATAACAACCTTTTAAAGTCAAAATTCAAGATAGCAGTCTTTCAGCCATTTTGTTTTCCTGATCAGTCCCAAAATAAACAAGGATTCTACAAAGGACAAAGGAAAAATATCATATAGAATTTGAGAAAGATCCATGCCGTACTTCCAAAGAAATAGAGATAACTAATTTTCAGAGTAGAAATCCAAGATGGCCACCTTTCAGCCATTGTTTTCTGATCATTCTAAAAGTAAAAGAGCACAACAAAGGGCCAAAGGGAACCTTAATAAGAAATATGACAATTGAGAATGATCCATCCTGTACTATCATCATAACAATAGCAAATTATTACTGTTAAAAATTCAGATGGCTGTACGTCATCTTACCAGTGTGATATTTAAGAAGGATTGTTCAAACACTTTTAAAAAGTTTACTCTTATAATGAGTAATGTTAAGTGATTAGGAAAGTTTACTCCTAGATGTGTAATGTTAACCCAGTAGGAAAGTTTACTCTGATGATGTGTAATGTTAACCCAGTAGGAAAGTTTACTCTTATGATGTGTAATGTTAACAGATTAGGAAAGTTTACTCTGATGATGTGTAATGTTAACCCAGTAGGAAAGTTTACTCTGATGATGTGTAATGTTAACCCAGTAGGAAAGTTTACTCTGATAATGTGTAATGTTAACCCAGTAGGAAAGTTTACTCTGATGATGTGTAATGTTAACCCAGTAGGAAAGTTTACTCTGATGATGTGTAATGTTAACCCAGTAGGAAAGTTTACTCTGATGATGTGTAATGTTAACCCAGTAGGAAAGTTTACTCTGATGATGTGTAATGTTAACAGATTAGGTTTTGACCTATAAATCTGCTGTATTCATTTCCCTATTAAACCTGTTATCATCTGTATTGACTTGTAGGAGAAAGCTTTGTATACATCTTCAGGGCGTAGCATCAGACGTAAAGTGTCCACAGCTGAACTCCAGGATAATTCAGAGGTGGTAGGTACACACCAGGTTTTACTGAAACAAGGAATTTTACTAATTTCTCTAAAATTTTAAAGGGAGTTTCCTGTAAAAGATTTTGTACTTTTGGAGCGGTTCTTATTTCCAATAAAATTGCTAAATATAGATACCTTGAAAATCGAATCAATAAAAGGAACCATATTGCATTTCATGACTTCCGTTTATTTTTGCTTCAGGATTTTGGTCAAACTTAACTTTGATACATCGGAAAAATGTTTACCGTATTAAGACACTTATTTTTCTGTGTTGAAGGTATTTGTATGGGGTTAAGAAATCCGTATCATAAGATGATGTTATCTTGTAGGAGAAACACTATTGTGATGTGAGTGTGCATACACATACCTATTAACTTCAAAGGTCACATCAAATTCAAAAGGTTGTTGTTGTGCATGCCACACTGTAAAACTCTCAGAACTGTATAATACTTTTAGTAAATACATAGTACTTAAAATATGCTTTCTAATACTCTGAAAACAGTGACATCATTGAGAATTAAAACATCATTTTTAACGGTTTAGATGAGAATTTGAGTTTGTATAAGTTACAATGAAGTTGAAATGGTTTACTTATATATTTTTCTCTGTCTGTATATCTGTTTAACAGAACTTGTCAATACATCTCCATATAAACACTTGCATTAAGTTTTTATCCTTCCATCATGTTATGGGGGAGTGGGTCAAGTTGTTTTATCCATGTCTGCCCGTCTCATCTTGTCCTGTCACATTCCATATTCTGGATCAATTGTTATACCTTGAGATTTGGTTCATGTTTACCTTTTCCCAGTAGTATTAGTATTACATCTAGTTCTGGCTGGGATAGGAACCAGGTTTACATAGGACCTGCGACAATCACCTCATATAGACATTTTCTAGTAATACAATTTGATATACAATATTTATAATGTTATAATTTCAATTTTAACATCTTTTGACAGAGTTATAGCCCTTGTCTGGGAATAAATCTTGTCGTGGTTGAATGGTAGAACATTAGGCTTGTGATCAAAGGGCTACTAGAACAACTCATGGCATAGACATAATGTTGTATCTTTAAACAAGATACACTTTACTCAGCTTGTTTCCACCAACTCAGATGTCTTCTGAGGTATCAGTTTGGTATACTTCAATGAGAAGATATAAACTTTAGGTACCTGGCCATTTTAAAAATATTCAAATACTTAATAATCTAATTAACTTACCCAAGAACAAGTTTTTATGAGAGTGGTATGAATGCTCTGTTTTTAGGCCACCCAAGACAAAGTCTCATGGTGACCTATTGCAATCACTTTTGTCCTGCGTCATGCATATGTAAACAATTCAACATTTTTTACTTCTTTCAAAAAAATCCTTAACTGATTTCATTGAAACCTTGCAGAAATTTCCCCTGGTGTACGATGACACAAATAGTGAATTAAATTGTCTCCATCCCACAAGGGCCTGAGTGGTAGAGCCAATAGTCTCAAATTGACTCAAATTTCAAAAATCTTTTTCTCAATACCCAGATATGGTAGAATCAAATTCATGGATGGAAGGGTCTTCAGGTGTTTAGCAAAATTGTGAATGTTATAGTCCCAGAGTTTCAAAATTTCCCATGGGGAGGGAGAAAATTTACCATTGTTTCTATAGGAAAAACAGATTTTTGAGCATAATTTGTTTGATTTCCAATGGAAATATTTCAGATTTGTTTAGAATTATGAGCAAAGAATGACGGCTAGACAATATGTATATATTGATCCTGACTGACCCCCAGGGGCTGATGGGTGGGGCCAAAAAGGGTCTAATGGACTTAAATTTCAAAAATCTTCTTCTCAACACCCAGGTATGGTAGATTCAAATGCTCTTCATGGATGAAGTCATCTTAAGGTACTTTACTGAAATGAGTCACACATTTCTTTCTGGGGAGCAGGTTAACTTTTTATAGAAAAATTGTATTTGAGCACAATGCTGTTTATTTCCCACTGGAAATAACTTTCTATGATTTATTAATATAAGATGACAGTTTTGATGGTATGCATGCATTGACACTGGCTTACTATCATCAATGTCTCAATTTCTTTTTCATGACACTTGAAAGCTACATAACCTTTTAATGTTTTAATCAGACCATATACAATGTGGATTATGAGAATGAATTGGACTTGCTGTATACCAGTGCTGTGTACCATGATCCTGAAGGGACATATAACATGCTGAATCTCTACCACAACACCACTGGAGCCTTGCTGCGTGGTGTGCACCTTGATGAACCATGGCAGGAGGTTTGTGTCATTTTGTTACAAAAGTTAATCTGGTTATTCTGAGTTGTAAGTATCACCTCATTTCAGTTTTAACTCTTGTTGTCCAAGGGAACAGTGAGTATATCAACTGGCATTATGTGAATCTAATGACTTTTGTATTTGTATATTTCATTTAAACACTACATCTCCAGAACAGCTGAAAAAGATTTTGACCAAAAACGTGTATGGTGTAGAGTTCTTTGGGTCATGTTGTCATCTTCCTCTATAAGGGTGAATATTTCAACCATTTGTCCAGGAGGTCATCCTTAATGCTGAATACGAGTCATTTGTTGATAAAAAAATTGTAGTCCCAAGGTAATAGATATAGGTGTAGATGCAACTGGAGAAAGTGTTGTTATTTTGGAGTCATTCTGAAATCATATTTGGCTGCCATCATGAAAAACACATCTTCTCAAGTTCCACTGGTGCAATTTAGCTGAAATATTGGGGGAAAAGTGGTAAAGCTGAGGAGTGTTTTTGACATGTTTTTACTGCAAAAAAATTAGAAACAATTTCAATAATTTAAGTACTGTTTCTACAACTGCTGCTGTTATATATAGGTCTTTATAGTCAGATGACCATTAAGGCCCAATGGGCCTCTTGTAATTTGAACTATGTGAAAGTGAAAAATAATTATAGATGATATCAGGGGAATGATGTTTATAATTTACAAGTGATATCTAATTTGTGATGATTGTTTACAAAAATGTCTGATCTGTGGTGTTGATTTATCAATTTATTTATGTAATAATTGAAATAACATGTGTGTTTTAAAAATCTTAAATTATTGGAGCAATATATCTAATCATAAATGATAGAAAATTCCTGAGAACTAGTAAGAAGCTCCCCTTACACCATGTTTCATTATCCATATTTTTGATACAATATATTAGCTATGATATCTTCCAGGTTTACGAGCACCGTGTCCATGTCGATTTAGATACAATGATAAAGATTGTGAAGCCGTCCCCAGGAAAGTTCTGCTGTATTGTGTACAGACTTTGCTCTAATGCAGAGGAACAGGAGAAGGATAAAACACCTAAATCTACCCCAAAAAATCAGAGAACTGAGCACAGGAGGAGGTCACGAACTCAAGCTGTACATAGGAGGTCAAGGTGATGATTCACTATACACAAGCAAAATACTTGGCAAATGACTTTAGGAGGAGGTCAAGGTCAGAGTATTCACTACTCCAAGGAATAGACTGAAGGATCTCCAGGTCACGAAATTGACTGCCACTGAACAAAGATGAGCTCAAATCAATGTGATCTACCTTCAAACTTGAGCTCAAAGTAATGTGATCTACCTTCAAACTTGAGCTCAAATCAATGTGATCTACCTTCAAACTTGAGCTCAAAGTAATGTGATCTACCTCCAAACTCATCGAAACTAACTGCAGAAGGAGGGCAAGGCAATATTAACTACACATTTTTAACATGACAATTATCTGCCTTCAAACACTTTGTTGTGGTTACTAGCCCACCAGACCTGAAAGGTCAAGTGAGCTTATGCCATGGTACGGCATCCGTCATCCATCCAGCATTAGCTTTTCTTTTAAAAGACTTCACCTTAATAACTAAGAGTACATAGCGTATCACATTTGGCTGATGGGTTCCTAAGATGCATTCTGTTAAAGGTAAAAAAATGAAATGACCTTGACCTATATTTAAGGTTATAAGGGTCAAACTTTTGATTAATCTAAAGGCGGAGAATCAAGATGCTTGGCTGGTAATGTTCCTGAGATGAGCACAATGTTTAAAAAAAGGCAATAACCCATATCTAAGGTAACATTGGTTAGACTTGTTAAAATGCTCAAAAAACTTCTGAGTTTAACTGATAGGTTTAGAATCATAATACTACCTGGTTGTATTCTTAGATGAAGCCAGACAGAAGTAAATTGTTTGAAGTTGTCCAAAACGTGATTCATCAGATGTAGACAAATAATGTTTACCTTACAGTGCAAACATGTTGGTAATTTGTATATCTTCTGTCATTTTTTGGCATTTGAAAGAGTTGCTCAAAATACATGGACTTTTAACTTGCATTATTTTTGTAGTGTAATATGAACTATGAATACCATGGAAATAACCAATACAATGTCAGCTTCATCCTTGTGGTATTTCTTGGTTAAATTACATACAATGCAAGTAACAGTAGAAATGTACATGATATATTTACTTTATAAATTAACTGAAAAAAGGTTATTTTTATAATAATTTTGTTTATTGCTTATAATTATGATGCTGTAAATAAAAAATACATTTTATACTGAAGAAAATAATCTTGCTTATTTATCTGAAAATTTGTTTAATACCAGATATCAATTAATAGTCAGCTGTGTGATCAAGGTTGTATCTGAAAAATTTGTATAATACCAGATATTAATTAATAGTCAGCTGTGTGATCAAGGTTTTATCTGAAAAATTTGTATAAAACCAGATATTAATTAATAGTCAGCTGTGTGATCAAGGTTTTATCTGAAAAATTTGTATAACACAGATATCAATTAATAGTCAGCTGTGTGATCAAGGTTTTAGCTGAAAAATTTGTATAACACAGATATCAATTATAGTCAGCTATGTGATCAAGGTTTTATCTGAAAAATTTGTATAATACCAGATATTAATTAATAGTCAGCTGTGTGATCAAGGTTTTATCTGAAAAATTTGTATAACACAGATATTAATTAATAGTCAGCTGTGTGATCAAGATTTCTGTCCGATCTTGGTTGGTATTGTTCTGTAATGAATTATTTATTGACAAAATCATGAAACAACATGATGGCAGATGGAACTTGGGTTTATGAGCTAGCAAATTGGTGAAGGGGAGCAGAAACTAAGTATAGTATATAGGGAGAGAACCTATTTGGATAGGTATGGATGGAACTACATAGCTGATCAATACCTTATTATGCCCATTCCTTATCCAAATATGTCTACTTCCAATTGGATAGAAATCACAGTTGATTACCACCTTGTGTGACAGTATTGGTAACCAACAATCTCAATAAGGATGGAAACTAACACACTAAAAGGCATTACGCATGCCCTTGTCAGCAAGACTAGCCCCAATTAGCTCCTTGTTTCAATCAATGATTTGAATGTTTGTGATAAGGAACTACTTGTTAATTGAGACATTTCAAATATTCATCTAGAGGCATAATGGTTTGATTAATTTGTGGCAGTTACCATCAACTTCCTAATTTCCGGTTATTCATAGTAGTATGGTATGGAACAGAGAGCATTATTTATTTCAATGCATCTGCTTGATTCAAACCTGGGACCCTTGGCTTACTAATCTGATACTCAACAGACTGAGCTAAAGAGAAGTTCTCTTTAGCCAAATGGTATATTGTAACTGGTATTTTTCCAAAGTTATATACTCCACCTCCAGGAAAGAACTCGCCCTAGAGTTTCCAGAGATTATGTGAAGTATTATTCCCGAGTCCCTACACAGGCGCCAATGTAACCGAGTTCATTATCCAATGCCTTCATTAGGATTCAAATCAGGGACCCCTGGTTTACTAATCTGATGCTCAACTGATCAAGCCAAAGAGCTGAAATTATCGGGTGGACTAATCAAAAGTGTTTTGGCATTTTTTCCTCATAGGAGACAACTACAGAATCTTGAAGTCAATAGAATGAGAGCTACCTTGCATTGGATCAAGGGTTTCTTGTCCAAGCCATGGTCTCAAATGATTGCATTGGACAACCATACCTCGGATCCACTGGATATCATCGAATGGGGGTGGATGGGGTGGGGGTGGGGCAATACTCGGTCCGCTCCTTTTCCTAACCTATAATATTAACAACTTGCCCGAGTTAACATCATCCGATGATATTTTCAGACGATTGTCTTTTGTTTCGCTGCATTAGAACAATGCGATACCCGGACACTACAGTATGGCATCATGTCACTGAAAGAGTTGAGAAGAAATGAAAGATTGTTTTATTCCTGAGAAGTGTATTGTCAGAAAGATCTCATGCAGGAGACATCAGTTCCGGTGTTGGATTCTGGAAATTGCGATAATAATGATAAAAGGGCATTTTTTCACAGAAGAGACAGCAAACACCACGGTAATGATAGCAAAAGGCATTTTGTCAGGAAAAAGTGCACGCACAAGGACGATACCAGCAAAATAACATTAATTCAGGAATAAAACAGCAAACAAAATAACTTGATGGTAAAATGACATGTTATTAGGGCAAAACAGCAAACAGATGAAGCTAATATAGGTATTTTGAATAAGAGGAAGAATGGCAGAAAGCTTGGGACACTACTGAGGTTATCTTCACAACCTAGGAAGAAAAGTCCTTTGACATCTGCCAATTCATATCTATATCTCTTGCAACATAAATGATCTACCCCAGAGACTTTATGGAAATTACTTGAAAACGAAAACTGTGTTGGAAGGAAGGTCGACCCTTAGAAACTTAAAAGCGATGGTGGTCGCGTTGGATAGTCACAGTGCCAGATAAACTGAATTCAATACGATAGGTGCAAACAACGAACACCGAAGAGAGCTGACCAGTTCTGGCCCTCAACCCTCTCTGCAAGGAGATTGTCTTTTTTCACACGCAGAAGCATGAGTTGTGCCATCTTGATGTCTCTCTGTCCCAGGTCTACGTCAGGCTGATGTATTGGTCAAGCATGCTGTAACAATGCAGACCAGCTTGTCAATAACTTGGATGAACTAATTGGTTGGTATATATGATAGTTTCTCATATAAAAAACATATATATATATATATTATAAAATAAATAACTCATTCTAATGATACGACACAGTGACTTAAGTATATCCTATAACTAATATGCAACTAGAAAAAATGCATTTCGGATCTGCCATTCAAATAATAAGGAAGGTATGTGATTACAAGCCATGTACCCACGTGTTAGTATTAGCCAGTCAGCAAGTGGTTACGAAGTCGCATGATAAATTTTTACCCGAAAGTGTTTGTCGACCTTTGTACTGAGATTGATCAAAGAGTGAACCATTGAAGTTCTACAAAGTACCAAGGTAAGAAAGATTTAAGATTTTTTGTCTTTGTTAATTGCAGTAATGTATATAAAGATCAAGAAAATACCAACATGGCAACATAGCAATAATTCTAACTCAAATTCCATAAAACTAAGGCAAAATAAGTAATATCTAGTATTTCCGAACATTAGCTTCATGTTGATAGAGTCATTAGAATAGAAGTTCTTATAACACTCAACCAGTAAAAATTTAAAGTTTGAAAGGTAGATCTGTCACTTTTTCGGAAGAATATTTAACACTACTAGCTATGGCAGGTTTTACAGGATGCCAGCGTACGAGACAAAATTCCAATTGATAATTTATGGTAGCAACAGAACAGGTATATAAAAGCTTGAGGAAGGCCGAGGCTGATCAACTGTGACCCCTATTGAAGGATGTCTTAAAGTCAAAGTAATTACCAGCAAACAACATCAAATTAAAAAAAAAAAGATCAAAGGATGAACGCATTACATTTTAACAATTAAATGAGGAAAATTCTATCACGATTTTACCAGCTGACAAAGGGGAAGACCACTTGAAGACCGTGAAACATAAAAAAAAATCCCACTAAAAAGTAAAAAAAAAAAGGCCTATATCCCACTGAAATATTACGGGTGCAATTATGATGGCTATCAGAAGAATATCTAGGGGACAATTATCAGATACATAATAAGAGGATATACATTTATAATGGCTGTCAGAATAGTATCTTCTGGACAATTTTCTGATAAATGAGAAGTTAGGAAATGATTCATGATAGCCGTCAGAGCAGTGTTTTGGGGACAGTTGTCTACCGACTTCCCATTCCTTAAATCATATTGGCATGCAAGGGTATAAAAAAAAAAATAAAGAAACTCCAACATGTCAACAGAATGATAACTCAAATTCCTGGTGTATAAGAATATAAAAAAGATCTATATGCAGACTCATGAAACAGTGCAAGGAGGAAACAAGTAGGTGATGATTTATACCGAATACAGAAATGGAATTCTTCCAACTGATATTGTGTGTCGATATATATCAGGGTTCAAACGAAACATGCACAGTTGCTGCTTTCATTATGGAAGAAATGAGAATAAGGCTACCCTATATCTTTTATAACAAAATGATTCAACCCTGACGCATAACACTTGTCAGACATGTGCCATTCTCAATACTGTACCAATGGAATGTTGTTAAAGGTACGTTGTTTTATAGGTACCGCGACATGGGTATCGGTGACAGTTGCCATCTTTGTACGAATGCTTTGAGCCATACTCGGTGGAATTACTTTCATGTTCAGTTTTGAATTATTCCTGACAACTGTGCGGAATGAAATGATATCAAGCGGATATTTTTAGCGTACATGGCTGGGGTATGGTTGCGCCGTGCATAGCCTACATGGTAAGAATTATTTTGTAGGTCTTCATGACCTAGAATATATTAATACTGTAAATTTGTGTATCACAGCTGTCAAAAAACAATACTGTGTGCCTATTTATAATTTAAACAAAGTTGATGACATCCCTAATTCTCGGTTACAATTTTTTATTAATGACCAACTTTTTTTTAGAAACATTGCTTATGGAAATCAGAGGTAAGTCAATTTCATATGCATCATTCAAGAAAAAGCAGCAAAACTTTCAAGAGAATATTTTAAAAACTACTATTCAGTCTCTGGAGGCATCTGATATCATTGATGTAGAAGAGTTAGGTAAGAAAAAGTCAGAGTTAGAAGCAATCAGGGCATACAAGACAAAGGGTAGTATTATAAGATCAAGGGCAAAGTGGGTGGAAGAAGGGGAAAAACCTTCAAAGTATTTTTTAAACCTGGAAAATAGGAATTATGTTTCTAAAATTATCCCTAAACTACAAAAAGATGATAATGAAATTATTACTAAACACGAAGACATTTTACAAGAAGTTTGTTTGTTTTATAAAAATCTCTATAACAATGCAGACACTACACATATTCAAAATACTAATCTGGCTGACTATCTTAATAGCTACAGTATACCTAGGCTAACAAAAAACGAATCAGATAATCTCGAAGGAGAAATTACATTCAAGGAGGCAGGCAATACTTTAAAATCTATGAAAAACAACAAGAGTCCAGGCTCCGACGGATTTACAACTGAATTTTTCAAATGCTTTTGGGGGAAACTGGGAGATTTTGTAGTTCGATCAATTAATTTTGGATATCATACTGGACAGCTCTCTATTACACAGCGGCTGGGGATA